AAGCCAGGCTGCATCAATGCATAAGGACCACTAGGCCCTGACCTACCCTACAATCACACAGTGGCAAGAAGCCCAGTCGGGGTCAAAATCCAGGGCTTGCTTGGGCACAGTAGCTCATGCCTGTAATCTCCACACTTTGGGAGGCCAAGGTGGAAGAATCATTTAAACAGAAATTTGAGACCAGCCTGGGTAACACAGAAAGATCCCATCTCTATAAAACATTTTTTTTTTTGAGACACAGTCTCACTTTGTCACCCCTGGTAGAGTGCCCTAGTGCCCTGGCGTCATAGCCCACAGCAACCTCTAACTCTTGGGCTCAAGCAATTCTCTTGCCTCAGCCTCCTGATCTATAAAGCATTTTTTTAAACAAATTATCTGGGTGTGGTAGCATACACCTATAGTCTCCGCTACTCAGGAAGCTGAGCCAGGAGGGTTGCTTGAACCTGGAAGTTGGAGATTGCAGTGAGCTGTGATTATTCCACTGTATTCTAGTCTGGGTGATAGTGCAAGACCCTATCTCACAATTTTTAAAACAAAATCCAAGCCTGCTCAAATGACTCCATTAGGCCACCTCCAGGCAGAGGGAGGTTACAGCACCTGCCTTCCAGATGGGCAAGAAACCTTGCTTAGGGCAGCTCCCTTCATAGCAGTGCCTGCCTCTCTCCCTGCACTCCCTAGACTTCTATCAATAATAATCAGAATATACAGCATTTCATCAGACACTGTTCTAAGCTTCATACATATCAAGTGAGGCCCAGAGAGGCTGAGTTAAATTTTCCAATGCCCACAGCAAGCATTTGACCTCAGGCCACTTGCAAGTGAGTACTTCCTTACTGGGTCACAGAGGCTCCTGCTTACAGTGGCCAGCAACCACAGCTACCAACTGGGCTTCTAATGTCCAACACCCACCCTGTCTGCCCAGGAGCACCCCACCACTTTCCTCCTCTGGGGCCCATCCAAGGCACTCACCGTGGCTGGCGAGGCACGAGTGGTATGGGAGTAAGACTGGCTGGCACTGCCCAGCATGTAGCCACCTTGGATCACGTAGGTGCCTGCTCCACTGCTGCCGTTGCCACTGCTGCCATTGCCACCGCCGCCGCCACCTCCTCCCCCGCTGCCACTGCTGCCGCCGCCACCACCACCACCACTGCCACTGCTGCCACTGTTGTTGGTGGCCCCACCCCCGCTGCTGGTAGAGCTGGCGACCACCTGGCTGCCGGACACGTACATGGGCACAGAGCCGCTGCTGGCTACTGCCTGCGAGGTAGCGGGAGTGCTGACCTGGGCAGCTGTGCCTGCAGCCTCATAGTAGCTGGTGCTTGCCGTCTGTGTGTACAGTGGTGTCTCAGGGTAGGGGTAGGTGCTGGAGCGGCTGGGAAAAGGGAGAGACAGGGGAGAGTCAGGGGGCTGATTCCTAGATGGCCGAGGGGCATGAATAAAGGGAGTCCTACAGGGAGGGGGAGTCCCAGGAGGGGACCAAGGAAGCAGCAGTCTCAGGATAGCAAGGATTCATGTACAATAGAACAGGAGCCCCCCCCAAGTGCCCAATGGGCAGCTTTCATTCATTGTAAAAGTACTGGAGTTGCCTTCTCACATTGGAAGCAAGGAAACTGAGATGGAAGGTTAGGGAACTTGCACTAGGCCACATACTTTTATAAGAGAAAATTACTGAGTGCCTGCTATGTACTGGGTACTGTTCTAGGCAGTAGAATCCTCAATCCTCAGTGGATGAGACAGAAAAGCCCCTGCTCTCAGGGAGACAGGAGAGAAGACAAGTGCGAAGTTACACTGAAGTCATAATAGAAGGTAGCACACACCTAGGTGTTGAGTGAAACAGGAAGAGAGTGGTACTGATTGGGAGGTTCTGACTGCAGATGACAGTCAAGAATGCAGATGCATGCCCCCTGGTCCAGCTACCTAACCCTAGCTGGAGAATTCCCCTACAGCCATCCCTGGATGTGCACTGGGTGATGCAAGCTTGAGGCTGCAAATCACAACAAGAGAGTAAAACCAACCAGCAGTCCATCTTTAGGGGCTAATGGATCCTACACAGGGGTGAAAGACAAGGAGGAAGGTCTTGTGGTCCTACCAAAAAACAAGTTCCAGAACATAATCATCAGGTAGACAAGAGGCAGAGAAGGGCATGGCTGGTTCAACAGGAAGAAAGAAGGGAAGATACCACCAAGTTTCATGTCTATCTGTCATCTATAGGGGGTGGAATGCACCTCTATTGCCATCTCACTAAACCTTGTTGGATATAACTTTGAGTTTTGAACCTTATCAATGTTTTAGTGATTAAAAACATAACATTAAAATTTAAAAATCCTGGTGGTGGCTGTGGCTCAATGAGTAGGGCGCCAGCCCTATATACTGGAGGTGGCAGGTTCATACCCAGCCCCAGCCAAAGACATAAAAAAAAAAAAATTTATAAATCCAAGCCAGGCTGGGCAGTGTACACTTGTAATCTCAGGTACTAGGGAGGCAGAGGCAGTAAAATAATGTGAGGCGAGGAGTTGGAAAGCAGCCTGGGCAACACAATAAAACCCCCATCTCAAATAAATTTTTTTTTTAAATTTTAGATAAAAATTCAAGCTGGGAGCAGTGGCTTAGGGAGGTAATCGTCCCAGCACTTAGAGAGGCAGAGGTAGGAGAAATGCTAGAGGCCAGGAATTTGAGACGAGCCTGGACACAGCAAGACCTCATCTCTAAAAATAAAATTAATTAACCAGGCATAGTGGCATGCAAACATAGTCCTAGCAACTTAGGAGGCTGAGGGAAGAGGATTACTTAAGCCCAGGAGTTTGAGGCTACCGGGTGCTATGACCAGACCACTGCAGTTCAGCCTGGACTAGAGGGAGACTGTGCTTCTAAGAATAAAAATTTAAGAAATTAAAAAAATCCCCAGCACAGTGCCCAGCATATAACCTGTGCTCCAAAACATTATTTCAGTAGATATTTACTAAATAAACAAATATGTGTGTCTCTCAATACACCCTGGACAGGGACAGGGCCAGAAGTCCACAGGCTGTAGCTTTGCCCTGGGGAGGGATCCATGCCGGGAAGGGGCTGGGAACCTGGAAACAATCCACTGGGGGCAAGAGACAAAAGATACAGCTGATAGCAGGATTGGCCCCCAAAACCTTCATGTAGCTGAAGAGTCTGAAAGCAATGATGAACTAGGTCAGTGGTTCTTAACCTTCCTAATGCCTCCTAATGCCGTGACCTTTTCATACAGTTCCTCATGTTGTGGTGACCTCCAACCATAAAATTATTTTCATTGTTACTTCATAACTGTAATTTTGCTACTGTTATGAATCGTAATGTAAATATCTGACATGCAGGATGTATTTTCATTGTTACAAAGACGTCACGACCCACAGGTTGAGAACCGCTGAACTTGGTGCAATAGCGCCCATTACAATCCAGGGAAGAATGCAAATAGAAGCCAAGGAGAGACACCACCAGGGAAGGCAGAAGGAGCCTTTCTAGGCCCTAAAAGCCTGGGCTCACATGTGGCTTGGCTCTGCTTCTAACATTGCAGGGGGCTCTGGGGGGCCAGCCCCTTTCTGCAAGGCCCTGTCTGGCTCCTGCCAGCTTAGGTCAACTGTACAGAGGGGAAATTAGCAGCACTGGAAATAAATTGATTGAACAATGAGGTAGCTGGATATGTGGACTTAGACCTAGAATTCAGGTGCCTGGACATGCCCCTTGGGGCCAGAGTATCAAGACCTAGGAACCAAGTCACTTAATGAGATTACTCAATCCCAGTGTTGTACCCACAAAGACAGGTGGCAGAGACAAAAATCAAAACTCAAATTCAAAGAAAACTGAGTGAAACTTCTAAAACTAAAATGATGACAGTAATTACAGTCCTGGAACTACTTCTGCGGAGGATACCGAAAGGGAAGGTGGGAAGGTAGCAATCTGCTTTGATGTGTTCCCCTAATGGGGATGTTAATGCTGCACCCTGTGGAGTACCAGAAAGGGGATATCACCTCCTATTGCCTGGGTGGGGATAGGTTATGTTGTTCTTGCTGGATGTGCACAAAAGAGCATTATGCTTTGGTTAAGAGGGTGACTAGGAGTGGCACCTGTGGCTCAGTGAGTAGGGCACCAGCCCCAATACTGAGGGTGGTAGGTTCAAACCCCGCCCTGGCCAAACTGCAACAAAAAATAGCCGGGCATTGTGGCGGGCCCCTGTGGTCCCAGCTACTCAGGAGGCTGAGGCAAGAGAATTGTCTAAGCCCAAGAGCTGGAGGTTACTGTGAGCTGTGATGCCACAGCGCTCTACTGAGGGCAACAAAGTAAAACACTGTCTCTAAAAAAAGGGGGTGGGGGGACTGGGAACCATGAAGACAAGTGGGAGAAGCACTAGTAGGGGAAGAAAGAAGGCACGGAATACACTGCCTCTATTTCTGAACAGGAAAATGGGAGTTTCTATTCTGAGTATCTCTGGGAAGAAACAAAGAAACAGGTCACAGTGTCCCTACAGGACAGGGTTGGATATCAGGAGTTAAAGAGGATTTTTCCCCACTGTTTAATATTCTCTATTACTTCAAAACATTTAAAGAAATTTTTTTTTTTGTTAAAACCCATACCCATCTCCAAAGTCCTAGCTATACCAGGATGCCTTTCCTGATCTTCTGGGGTCCCTCTGCTTTGCCTTCCTGGTTGCTGCTGGCTGCCCCTGGGGAGTGTCTGTCCATGACCTTGAAGGCCAGCTGTGGGTTGGGACTGGTGCCAGAGGAAATCTGAGCTCCTCCCCCAGCTGACCGCCTACTTACATGGCACTGGCTGTGTAGCTGGCATCGCCACCCTCCACATACTGCACCTGGCTGGAGTACACGTGTGGGACAGGCACCTGCTGGAGCTGCTGCACCTGGGAAGGGAGGAAGGCGTGTGGAGAGTCACGCGCACGCCAACTCTTTCACCTCTGCCTTTACAGGGCTGGTGGCCACCCAGGTTCTCTCTGACACCCAGCCCCCTGACCGGAAAGGTGTACGCCTGGGCTCTCTGAACAACACACCCTGCACTGGGCCAGGGGTCAAAAGTCAAGGGACTGCAGCCTCCAGAGCTGGGAATCAGGAAGAGGAGTGCTAGGGGAAGCCAGGACTCTCAGCTTCAGCTTCACTGGGGACAGCAAGGGTAGGGGCTGAGGCGCAGCGGAAAAGACCCCTAAGGGCTCTACAGTGGAGGTGAAGGCTGGACACCGGGAACAGAGCAAGGCACATGGGAGAAGGTGATGGCTAGAGCCAGAGCCTGGAACTATAGCGAGAGCCTGGGGGCCTGGAGACCCGGCAAGGAGGGGAGAGGTGGAGCCTGCCCTACTCCCCTGTTTGTGGTATAGAACCTGGAATCCCTGGCAGGGCCTCAGCACCCCACCTCCATCCCTCCTCCCGCATCTGTAGGGGCGGAGCCTGGGACCTGGGCTGGCTGTGGGGGGCGTCAGAGGCGGGTTCCCAAATCCACCAGCCAGGCGGAAGTGGGGCGGACGTGGGGTTTAAGGGGCTCGCAGGGCCTGGCAGGCCGCCCACACCGGGCGTCCCCGCCCCTGCCCGCCCGCTGCCCCCCGCCCGTCGGTCCGCCACCTACTTTGAGGGCCGTGGCGGCCGTGCCGAACACTAGCACTTGGGGGACTCTCTGGATCCTGACCCTCTGGTCGGGGCTGGCTCGGGCCGGAAGCCCGGGCAGTGGCTCGAGGACCACTTTCTGCTGCGGCAGGAGCAGGTGCGGGGGCAGCACGCCCACCAGTTCCACCCACTGCTCGGCGCCCGGCTCGTAATGGGGCGGCGGCGGCTCAGGGCTGCCTAGCTGCGGGGCCTCACCGCTGCACACGGGCGGGAGCGGCGGCGGCACGGGGGCCAGCGCGCCCAGCCCGGGCCTGGGTGTGGGCGGCCGGGGAGGCAGCTCCGGCGGTGGCGTGGGCTGGGGCTCTTGCTGTTCTGCCTTCCTAGCGGGAAACTGACTGCCTGAGCTCTGGAGGACAAACAGAGACACTGGGGGGTCACCGGGGACAGCCCACGCAGTAACCCGATGGAAAATCCCCGCCCCGGGGCTCAGGGAAGGGAAGAACCAACCCAGGGCCGCGCAAGAAAGCGGAATTCGAATCCAGATCTCTCTTAGCAGAAACGGGCCCTGAGCTGTTCCAGTGTCAGGAAAGGGAAGGAATCCAGGGCAGGGTCTGGAGCCCACAGCCAGAGGTGGAGCCAGGAGCCGGCTCCATTCCCTCCCTGCGGCCTCAGGGGCCTGCACTCCCCAGCCTCAGCCCAGGACTGATCCCAGTGTGCCCCACGGGGTAGGGGAGGGAGACACACACCTCTTGAGCCACATGGACTGGTTGGAGCCCCTGCACGGTCAGCGGTTGCACAGGGCCAGCTTTGGGTGCCTGTGGAGTGGCCTGGACCACGGACCTCTGGGAAGCAAGAGGCAGGTGGGACTATGGTAACCATGGCAGTGATAGCGGCCCCACCCCCACCCCTGTACCTGTGAACTTAGGTAAGAAACAGGCCACTATTCTCCAGCCAAATGAAGAGGACCACTCTCCCATGCCCGGCCCAGTACTTAGCATTTTTCAGGTCCATTACTGAATTGACCCCAGTCACCCAATCACAGGTGCAGACCTGAGGCTCAGCCAGGTGAGGCTGCCAGGAAGCAGCAGAGAGTTGAATCTGGGACTAATTGAGGAGTCCCTGTCTCTCTGTTGCGTACAGGTCTCTACAGGTATGTCAAGAACTGGCAGTGGAGGCCTTGGGTTATCTTCTGCCCTGTTTCCCCCTTGCAGTGGGGGAGATGCCAGCATTATCATCAGAGCACAGAGTGAGGGAAAGAAGCTGCCCTGGGGAAATGTGAGTTGAGAGGCTGGGACTCCAACCCAGCCCCTGAGAGCTCCCAAGGGGCTCTGACACCAGGCAGGGGACTTTGGGGAATCTTTTGGGATGGAATTTCTCCTTTTGTCTGGGGACGGGTCTGATTTTCTGAGGACCTGAGAACCCCTTAATGTCAGTGATAACAATTAGACAGCCCTAGCTTCTTAACCTGTTCAGTGCTGGGCCAACCCTCCAGAAGGCCGGGGCACCTCCCAAAAACACTTAGAGATGAGCTGGGACTCAGGCTCTTGGCTTCCTAGGCAAATGGGACCAAAAAGACCGAGATGGTTTCTCCAAACTGCCAAACTGTTCCCAGAGCTTGCTCTGCCTTAGGACCCTTCCACAAGGTCCACATTTCATCCTCACAGCATGCCCCCTCCCCCAGGACGCTGAATCTAGAGAGAGATGGAGATGCTTGCCAAAGACCCAGGGGTAGGAAGGGGCAGGACCCCCATCAGCTCGGCTCTAACACACCAGAGGCACAGCCTCAGGAAGCTGCAGAGGCTGCCTGGCTGGGACCCCCTTGTCCCCGTCACTGCCCGCCTTGGCCTGGCACCTCTTGGGTGACGGGGACACTCTGCTGGACACCATGGACCTGTAGCTGCTGCGGCACTGTGCCCGTGGGGGCCCCAGCTGTCTTGCTGGAAGAGCTGTTGGCCTGCACTGGCGACCGCTGTAAGGGAAGGAGACATGGGAGCGCTGTTGGGCCTGCCCCAGGTCCTCTCTGGGGCAACTAAGCCCTTACAAATTTCCTTTCTCAAGAGGGATGTTTGGGACAGGGCAACAGCCAGTAAGGACATGTCCCATGCATCCAACCACCATTTCCTACAATAGTCCTGGTTACCCCCTGGTGAGGGTAGAGATTCAGCCCAGAGGCTCAGGGCTACCTGCAGCCTCCCTAATCAGAAGGGGTGCTCCACCATGGTGGGTGGTGCCCCCCAGCATCTCTGAGGCTCTCCTGGGGCTGACCACCATAGTAACAACAATAGCAGTATCGACCACAGTACTGGACTGACTCCCAACAGGCACTGCTCTGAGTCTTCAGATTTATGTATTAGAATCCCATAGCATCCCCCCTTCTCAGCTGAAGTACAGAGGGAGGGGACACACAGTCCTGAGTGGTGGCACATGGTACAGACCCCAGGCAGACTGGTTACAGAGCCCCCTATATGAGCTTTAGGCCCTGCTGTGGCACAGGCTGTAATTCTCACAGTCTTCCTATGGGCCACTGACAAATTGAAATTTCTGGCCTTCCCAGAGTCCCAGAGGAGTAAGTAGGTAGCTGGGCATCTGACTCCAAGCTCTGAACACCTGTGCTCCAGGCTATCTAAGGCTTGCCTGCCTCCAACAGGGCATAGGTATGTGTGGGTCTCCAGAATCCACACTATGTCTGAGTCTTCTTGGAAGAGACTGCCCACCCTGCAGAGGAACAAGAGCCCACCTGCTTCCTGGAATGTAGTTCCCTGAGCTGAGATCTGTCAGCGCCTTCTTAGCCCAGGGAGGAAGCCACCTCCCCTTTCCTAGCTCAGAGCTAACAGGGCCAGGAATTGGGTGGGTAAACCACACAACTCAGGTTCAACAAGGACTGGTAGTACAAGGAGTAGCAGGACATGGGAGTACACGGCTGACAGAGCCACCACCTACCTCCGGGGGCGAGTGCACCTGCTGGGTATTGAGGACTGTCAGGGAAACCTGGCTGCCCTTGCTGCCTGGGGCTGCGCTCTGCACCACTAGACGCTGTGTGGGGAGAGCCTAGAGTCAAGGAGGAAGAGAGGATGGATCACTGATTATAGCCCGCACAGCTTTACTGGGTACCTGCACCGTGCCAGGCAATGGTGATGCTCTTAAGTGCTTTATGTCTTAGCTCAAGGAATGTCCCCAACAGCCCCAATGTGCCATGATACTGTCCCTACTTCACAGAGACACCATGCTCAGGATGGTGAAAATGCCTGTTTGAGGATCTGGAGCCAGGAAGTAGCAGGGCAAAAGTTGGTGGCTAGGAAGCCACGTAGACTGTGCTGTCATTCTCAAAGCCTGACAGTACTTTGTCCAATTCTGATTGGAAAGGGGGGTGAGACCAGCACCCTGGGGCATAGCAAAGGGCCCTCAACTCCAAACCTGGACCTGGGTTCTGCTTTGGGACACCAAGGCTGGACCCCTAGGGTACCTCCCAAACTACCGATCTTGTTGTCTCTGTTAAGATGACTCATGTGGCTCCTCCTTCCCTGATGGCCCCTGAAAGTCTCACCCTATGGAGGCAATCCCCAAGAGCCAGGAGGTGGGGTGAGGTAGCTGCTGTGTGGGGACTATGTTTTCAGTCATAGCAAGGGCAGATCCAGGCCAGACACAGGGGTTGGCCCTCTACCCTGAGAGAGGTTTTGAGGACTGGGTTTGGGTATTGTGGCCTTACCTGCTGGGGCACCTGGATATTGGTTAGCTGGAGGGGTGACACGTGGCCTGACTTGGCCTGCACACTCGTCTGGACCAGCAGCCGCTGCAGGAGCAATGTGTGAGGAGCTGAGCCAGGCCATTTCCCCAGGGAGGCCCAGCCCAACAGGTGAAGGGAGCTGACATGTACATCTTGATAAGAGCAGGTGAGCAGATGGCTCTGGCAGGAAGGCGGGGAGAAGAGACTAGGCTCCTGGGGCTGCAGATTGCACTGCCCCCCTCAACTGCCCCCCCCCCCCGTCCCTGGGGAGGGCCATGTCCTACCTGCTGGGTGCCCTGCAGCTGCTGAACCACCTGAGTGGGGACGCCGGTCTGGCTAGCCGTGGAGCCCGGGCTGGCCTCTGACACAGTCTCGCTGGCCCGCATGGTACCTTCTGTGGGGAGGGATCACTGGGTCAGCTCTACCTGTGCTCTTGCCCTCACCCAGAGCCTAAGCCCATCTGGAGGGGATGACACAAGCCCAAGCTGACCCTCAACAAGACCAGGCCTTTCCAGGAGTCCTGCCTGCCCCCTGGCCAGCCCTGACTTTGCCTATCAGGGCTCCATGTGGTGGGGCAGAGGGACAGGAGGGCCTACGATCCCTAATATCTGGAAGGAGCATTGCCCCACCTTCCTTGTCCTAAAGCCAGATCAGAAGAGGTGACTACAGAGCTGTGATGCTGGACCTCTTTTCCCAACAGACAGGACTTATGGACAAGCAGTGAATATACCCACCTCCCCCAGGTCTTGGCAGTAGAGCCACCTTCCCTGGGATGACCCCTGGCTTCCTCAGAAAGGAAGCTGGTCAGAGAAGTGGTCCCCTGGCCTATAGCCAAGTACCCCTCCCAGCCCTCCAGTCCTCAGTGGGGTGGGAGCAGCCTGGGGAGGCAGTACTCACGCTGACAGGCAGCTGAGAAGAGGCAATCATAGAACATGGTGCCCGCCTGCCCCTCCCCCTTCCGTCTGTCTGTTCGTCTGTCTGTCCAGGGGTGCCTGCCTGGCCCTCCTCGCTCCTTGCCTGCCTCTGTAGGAACAGCAGGACGTGCAGGTGGCTTTATACCCACAACCTTGGGAGCTAATCCCTCCAGTGGATGCAGGGTGCCTGTCTGCCTGCCTTCTTGAAATAAACACTCCCCTCCTGAGTGGGGCCTTCACCAGGCTGGGCAGCGCTGTAGGGTGAGGAGGGAGGCTGGTACCCAGTGATGCTATCAGGCAGGCACAGGTCAAATTTCATGTACATCTTCCTAGGTGATTTACAAGGAGTGTCCCCAAGAGGCACTGGCCAAGAGACCCTCACCACTAGAATAATTTCCTTCCAATCCACTCCCTCTATGTGGCCTGCCTGCCCCGAACAGCTGCAGAGGCTGAGGTGGAGCTGGGGTAGACGTGTTCCTGCCCTCTCTCCATTGTGCTGTTAGACAGAGCCGAGGCCCCTTCCTGAAGGGTTCAGAGAGGTTATCCAACCCCAGCAGAACTGAAGGGCTATGCATGAGGAGTGCATGCACAAAGTGATTGGGGCAGATATTAATATTGCTTCTGGTGTAACAAACACTCCACTAGGCTCTTTCTGGGCACCCAGAAAGAGTTTTTATTACCCATTTTTAGATAATGAAACAAAGACCAGGAGAGAAGTTACTTGCCCAAGGTCACCCAGCTGGGAACTGGCTAGCCAGGACATAGGCCCCTCTCTGGGCCCATATGAACCTCACAGCACATGTAGAACCCAGAGTTACTGGTCCTGCATGGGCCCCAAGAGCACTGTTATATAGACTCAGGCTCATGGGCAGAGGACAGAAAAATAAGCTGTGGGTCTTTGGAGATACCTCAAGGTCCAGAGCATCTGAACTGGGCCTCAACTATGTAAAGAGACACAGAGGAGGGGCCTGGCCAGAACACGAAGGCTGTCTTGGGTAGATGCAAGGATCTCAAGGCCACATCAGGGGCAAAAACTGCCAGATGTGGGAGGCAGTGTTGAGTGGGAGAAGTCTCCCTATCACCACACAAGGGGCTATGGCACTGGCATTTGGACAATCCCAAGCCTGCTCAGTCAGTTGCCCACGCAGCCAATTCTTATATTTTGCTAGATTCTTCAATTGCATCTGCTTTAGGCTAAAGCTTTCCTGTACTGTGAGGGAGGAGGTTCACACTGAAATGGCCCCTCTAGGAGAAACCTGAGACAGCCCTGAGTCACGTGGGGGTCCTGTACACCTGGGTCTCCGTGGGTACAAGGAACCAGGCCCAGCCCAAGGGATGGTGCCTGACCCAGTGCGGAGGCCTGTGACGGGTTCTGCCTGGCTCAGAGTGGGTAGCAAGTGTGGGGCTGGAGGCCCAGGGCTTGCTGAGATAAGGCATCAGTCTCAAGGAAACAGACATCTCCTGCCTCTGAGTTTGCCTTCAAGGCTGGGACCCACATGCCCACCAGGCCAGGAGGGCACAATAGGACACACCATGAGAATGTGTATCTGGTCTACCTCTGGTCAGGGCAGGGTGCCTCTGCCACTATGCGTGGCCTGGGCTGTTTTGAGGTAGCAAAGTCAGGAGGGGAAGTGTCAGAGCGGGGGTGGTGGTGGTGGGGTGGTATTGAGTCTACAGTAGTTACAAGTGTCTACAAACTGTCTGCCTAAGATCTTCCTTCAGGGCCCAGGAGGCCCCTGTTGTCTCAAGTCTCAGGTCCGGAAGTGGTAGCTGATTTCCTGTCTCTGAATCTGATGAACGAACATCTCTGGGCCCCACACTTCCCCATCTAGATCTACTCAAACCTCAAATGAGCTATTCTGAGAAGACAAAGGGGGCCTGGGAGGCTGGGCCCCTGGAATCCCTTGCCAGGCTACCCCTCTTCTCCATGGACAGGTAGAGCTATCCAGCCCTCTGCCTTGTGCTCCTGTGCTCCTGGGGCTCTCAGAAAGGCCTCTAGGCCCCTGCTGCTCCAGAGCCCTATGTTCCTTGTCTGCTCAGACCTCATTTTCCCCATCTGCACTCAGGGATGCTGACAAACATCTCCATTTCCCTGGAAACATGTCTTCTTGGACTCCCAAGTGAGAGACAAGCAGGGAAGGGAGGCTGGACACTGTTCCTTCTTCAAGCTGGCCCTTATTCCCTTCAGGCTGACTTGGTTTCATCTTCCTAGGAGGCAGCTGCCAGGGCTTACAGCACCCTCCTACTTTGGGTTTTATGCAAGAGTCTGATGACCTCTGGGGACAGGGATCTATGGATCTAGTATTGTTCCTGACCAGGGAAACCTGAGATTCCTTCCCATCATCTCCAAAGTCACCTTAGAGTGGGGCGTACTAGGACAGTGCTGGGTGAGCTGCCTATGGTGCTGCTGTCAGCTGGCCTCCAGCCCGGGGCTCCAGGCCTGGGCCCACTGGCTCCAGGCCTAGACCCAGGGCCCCTCCCTTCCGCCCTCCCTGTTGTTGACTCCCTGGTTCTTGGTCAGCTCTTATTGCTCCTGGCTTTAGAGGAGTCCTAGGTGCCTTGTGGCAGACTTCACTGGTGTCAGTTATTCCCTCTCCCCCAGGAACCAGCTCACGTGGCCCAGGCTGCCCTCAGATGAGAAGGGACACTATCCTGAAAGCAGTAGAGAAAGGCAAGAAATCACTGCAGGGGTGGGGGAGGGGTCAGGCACCAGGGCTCAAGTCAACCTCCTCTTCCCCTACCTCTTCCCCAGAACAAATCGAGGAAGCACTGCTTGGTGACCCTTCCAAGGGACAGACTTGCTTCTGCCAGAACCTGAAGCAGCAAGGAAATGAAATTCCCCAGGAACACTGTTGCAGATGACTAAGCTACCACCTAACCAAAGAACTGAGTCCAGGAGAGCTATGGGAGCTACAGGGTCGATGTGCCCTGCCCCGGGGTCAGTTTGCCATGCCACACAGCTAGTGATGGTGGCCTGGGCCTGTCTGACCCCTGGCCTCCTAGGGGGAGAGCCAGGAAGAACTGGAGAAACCAATACAAGGAAAGGGAGGACTTGAAGTGATCTGGGGAGAGGAGGCCAAGACCTGGGGTGTTCAGGGGTCCACTTCATACTTCTGCTCTGGGACCTCAGATCCTGAGGCAGCAGAGACCTACATCCAAGAGAAGGAGGACCAACCAGATACAGGAGAAAGTGGGCAGAGCCCTCTACTGGTGTGTCAATCCTCTAGGGCTGTTCTGTGTCAGGCTAGTGTTCACCAGTCATTCCACAAAGACTTAGAAGACAAAGCCCTGGCCCTCATGGGCACTACCACCAGCACCAGCACCATCATAATCACTATTATTATTTTTTTGAGACAGACTCTCACTATGTCGCCCTTGGTAGAATGCCATGGCATCACAGCTCACAGCAACCTCCAATGCTTGGGCTT